ATGGCAGCATACCAACTCAAAGAAATAAGATTTGCTGAAAGATATTCAATCTAACGAGTTGTTACCGGAATGAGGTGCAACTGTGGTGTTTACTTGCAAGGTATTTTTGAAGATTCAAAAATGGCGCGCCACGATTTCTCGGTCCACTCCGAGCAGTGAAGTTCCTGCGCCATTGACCAGGGAAATTTTAACCAATGTAATGCCCTCTTGTTCTTTGTCTAAATGTTCAAAGGCTGTTAAAAGGCTTGATAATGGTGGTTTCAAACTGTTTAAAGGTATTGTGACCTCAAAGTCGTGAGCTACTCACAAGGTGCAAAGGAGACGGTGGGGAGCATTCCGTATGAGCACGATAGTATCTAGGAATACCTGCTTGAATGAATAATCTAGCATAATCATTAGGTTGCTAACCATTGGATGAATCTCGAGTATCGACAGGCGTAAAGAGGATGAAATAGCAAGTTGTGTATTCTAGCTTATTCCATTGAACAGGAGATAATCTCTTGTATAGCCAATTGCCCCTTTGAATAGCATTAATCACTTTCTGGTTCATTTTTATCGATATGGACATACTACTTTCAGTACATCTCGCAGTCCCTCCTATCACAACTCACTCTCCAGCTAGACATGTTGGAATGTCGACGAAAGGTACAGAAAGCGAATGCATTCTTGGTTGCTAGATCCCTATTAGCATCTTTGGCTACAACTGCTTTCACGCCAAGTAATCGATATTTGAAGTTCGGAACCTTGTTCTTTTGAGTGAATCGATCTATTGAAGAAGGGATAAAAATGATGCCGCTTAGCATGCTCATGAGGTCAACATACCTTGTGTTTATATGCCAGGTCAAGGCCATAGTGAGCTGAACGGCGTGGTATTCAGCTTCAAGAACTATGATATAAATTTCCCTGAGCGAGCAACACTCTCCGAAGCCTTTCAGAGTGCATTATCATTTTCGGTCCAATGGTTCACACATCAGTTTCACCTCATTCCGGTAACAACTCGTTAGATTGAATATCTTTCAGCAAATCTTATTTCTTTGAGTTGGTATGCTGCCATTCTCACCGAAGTCCTTTAACCAAGACGTTCTAAAACCCTTTTATTCGAGGCACCAGTGCAAAACTCGCTGTTCCTGTTTTGGATCCTGGAATTTAAGTTATGGTTCCTAGTGTGACGTGCTTTAATGGGCATATATATAGACGATATTGTCGACCTAATTGGTGTGGTGGGTAAAGTAACAACCACCACCCATCACCACGCTGATTCTCTCCCCCTTCTCTGTATATGTGCGTTTCAGTTTGAAGCTGACCGTCGCACCATCAACATCACCATCAACTCTTTTGGCACCGAACTCTCCAAAGAGCAACGCGCCCATCTTTTCCCTACCATCGGCAACTTGTACTCCGCTGGTAACAATGCTTTGGCTAAGGCAGATGATGTCGAACAGGTCCGAGGGGTGTGCGAATACATTGCCGAGTACAGACACTTTTTCGATGCGGCCGCTTCATCGGGGAA